CTGGAGTTCAATCCAGATCGGTTCCTTCCAGAAAACAGCCAAGGAAGACATCCATTCGCGTATATTCCCTTTTCAGCAGGGCCAAGAAACTGCATTGGTGAGTTTGCGTTCATACTTTAAATCATATGGGCGTTGCATCAGAATTTGTGAGTTTGTCTTCCCGTCGTTGAAATGACGTCAAAATTTTCAAGGCTCAAGTTTTATGGCGAGTGGTTTTACGACAAAGTTATGAACGTTCAACCGTCGTACAAGGTCTTTAATTACCTGATGAAGAAGTTAGTTCATTTAGCTTTTTAAAGCTTGTTGAAACGGTTTAACCTTTTTTTGACTCAGTTGACCATGTAATAATGGCGGTTTCGTCTCCAGTAGACGAAGGTAACAAAAGAATAAAAAAACTACTAGTAAACAAACAAACAAATAAAATAGTGTCCTCGATAGGTACTTGGTGCTAAATACATCTGCACTCTTGTTGTGGTTGTTATTTCGACTTTTTTTGTTGTTGTTTGTCTGCCATTTCTATGATCTCTTTCTCCGTGGGAGCGCAATTTTCAAAGAATCATTTTGATAAAAAGTGCCGCTTTGTTGCATCGTTAGTAGTGACTTATTTAATTTCTCCTAATCTTTGCCCTATTTTTTTTCTTTTTAGGTCAGCGGTTTGCCTTCTTGGAAGAGAAAATAGTCCTGTATCACGTGATGCGGAATTTCTCCATTGAGTCTGCGCAGACCTTTGATGACCTACGGACCTGTGGAGAACTGATCACCCGACCAAAGGAAGGGATATTTGTCACGTTAGCTAAACGTTTTTAGAGCAAAATACATCGTTGAACAGCAATGCTATGAAAAATGAAATAGATAGACTGCTTAGTGACACTGACGAATGACCAGGTAGGGTTACATCTTAATTACTATTTTCCTGTTTTGTTGAAGTACGGTAAGTTAGGTTTCTGCGCAACTGGATTCTCGAAACAAGACATTTCTACATTTTACTTCATCAACTGTAGCAAGTGATCCCAGTGTTATATACAGGAGCATGTTGTGTCAATTTGAAATTAGCCGAGTGAAGATGGTGCAGTCTTGGGACGCTCAGGTAGTGTTTCGGTTAGCAATAAGGTATTCTCTTTACAATAAACACAAGAACTGGTTATCTGTATTGATTCCACCTTGCTGTTAAACAGTTGCCCTTCTCGATCCCCTCCTTAACTACGCCGATGATGTTGCAACCTCTTTTCCTGAGTCTACACTGAAAAAGCCCAGGGAACGAGGCTAAATGATGAGGAGGCTAGAAATGGTTTTGCCTTCGGGAATTTTTTGGCAATACCCCTTAAAGATATAGCTGATTCAATAAAGGTTGCTTTGGACATTGGTAAGCTATTGTTTGTTGGTCACTCGAGTAAATCATTGCATTTTTCCATATATGTCCAAATGTCCAATGCCCAATTACCAAAGACCAATTACCAAGGCAACCTTTTTTGATTTAGCTGTATCCAAATGGCATTTTTAAACAGAAACTAAAAAAGCAAACCAAACAAAAAACTAACTCTCTAAAAAAAGCTGACTCGTGGCCAGTTAGGTATTAGGCTTTGCTGTGCGAAACTCGATTGCTATATTTGAAGCAATTTGTTTCTTGTTTATTAGCATTATTCTTGCTCAGTATGGTGAGCATTTGCTGTAATAATCATTTATAAACAAGTGAACGAAATCCTACTCCTCAATACGTCTTCTGGGCGAAGCATCTCGCCGTGAAAGGAAGTAAACCCAAGGGAGTGGGGTTGGCTAGAGTGGTTAGGGCTATACAAGACAACGATTTGGGCGTAAAAATTTGAGACAATACTGAAATATTTTTTTGTGCATGAAGCTTGCATTGTGAAGTATACTGCAATGGAGCAATTAATCTTATTCTTTTCTACTATGAAATGAGGGGCTATGCGGAAGAGAAATCGTCTTTTTATTTGCCTATCTGCGCTGATGTACGTTGCTGTTTATATTTTTACTTATGTATTGGCATACCATTGGAAGATCGAGCGCCGTATTTTACAAATCAAAGTTCAAAGCTGGTTGAATAAACTGGGCAACTTGAGCAATATGTGCAATTTTTAAATTTTCTGAAAGTAAAATCTAAGGAAAAAACAGCCTTCAAAACTGCGAAATTATGTTAGGGGCAAAAATTTCTTTTTAAAAGAGAGTTACTCCGAAACTATTCGGTATACTGAGCTGAAATTTTCAGATTACTTATACCGCTATGCTATAAATTTTCAAAATTACGAGATGATATTCGTCTATAGTACGACTAGTACCGGGTCACCCAACGATCGAATGTTTCCAAATACCGTATTTATTCGATCGATTAACCGCCCTGGGCGCTTATTAAATTATTAGCCCTTGAGATTGGGGGCTTATTCAAGGTGGGCGCTTAATAGAGGCTGGGCGCTTATTATATTTTCACCATTTTCAGCAAGTGTAGTATGTTTATTTTGCAACAAAACAACAAATGGTAATATCAAAACGCGAAAATGTAACAAATCATGGTTTCTGTAAAATACTCCGCGGAAAATTCTGTCTTCCGGGAAGTTTGTCAGTTATTCACTTACTTCATTTCAATGTCAATCTCATTGTCACTCATGTCAATAAGTGAATTCTTTGGTGCTGCATCCTCGATGTCCGACATCGTAACGTCGGCAATGGGTTAGTCGCCCGAGAAGCAGATACAGCTTATGTAAGTTTAAGTGGAAGGGGGAGGGGGAGGGGGAGGGTAGAAGGGTAGGGGTGGGGTGGGCGCTTATTAACTGATGAATACGGTACGTCATATGTATTGGTTTTCTCCATGTTTTAAATTGAAGCTGCCCTAAGCTGCTCCCCTTGTCTTAATCGGACATTTTCGGGAGACCTTCTCTACTAATAATCGCAATACAGTGTATCTTGATTATAAGACGTGAAAAACACAATCTCCCAAAATTGTTGGTTATCAAGAAATTTTCAGCTTTTCTCGGGCTGTAGAAATTTCTATTCAATATTTGCTCCTTCGAACATGAGCAATTTATTTTTCCAGAAAGACGTCGTTGGCTGCGCTTGATAGTAGGGTACACAGAGAGTCACGCCAGTCCTTCGGTTGCTGGTGGGTCTTAGATTCTTCGGCTTGAGTCAACAAACTCGAGTTGTACCCTTGTCACTTTCGTCTGCTGTGGCTACGAGATATTTGCTGTGTGATTTTGATCGACGCTAGGCGAGCTTACAGAGCAAGAAAACGAGACGAAAAAATGGCTGGCTACAAGCTTTACTACTTTGATGCACGCGCCAAAGGAGAAAAATGCCGACTGGCTCTTGCGGCTGCTAAAATTGATTTCGAAGATGTTCGATTGAAGGTGTCGCTGACCGGTGAAGAAAGTGAAGAATGGGCTAAGGAGAAAGCTTGTAAGTAGAAGATAGAGCTGCAGTAAATAATATGATAAATAACACTCGATTTCATTTATCTTAGTATTGTCTGATCTGGTATTAATATCATTAAACCTGGATTTTTGACTAAGTTTGAGGGACATGATATTCCCCAATAACCCCAAGACAAAATCGCGTGTTTACTCGTTCAAAATTTTCCTTAATCGATGGCAGCAGTTTACAGTTTCTCATATTAGATATCCTTGTTTAATACACATTTTTGCGTTCGATTGCATGATACTGTTTTTGGCTTTTTTCAGTTTGATGAACGTGTATTTCACGGTCTTGGCGAATGCAAAATTTAATTTTACAATTTCATATATATTTTTTTCTTAATTTTATTTACATAAGCCTGGACCTTTATGTCACGCTCTTGTCTGTTTTTGACGTCGATTTACATAAACCTTTGTGTATGTTTAACTAAACTTTGATTGCAAAATAGGCTGACGTCATTAGCCGCCACTCTGCGCCAAAACTAGCCTGGAACCAGGCTCATCATTGAGGGAAAAAGGAAAAACAAATCGGCGAGCGAGGCGAGCCGAGAGGTAGTTTGGGGAGGGGAAAGAGTGGCCGCCCCTTCCCCCCTCCTTTCACGCTGTGGATTCCGAGTTCTGGAGTTCTACAACTTTGATTCTTGATTCTAGTCACCAGCAGGATTCCGGATTCCAAGACCCAGGATTTCGGATTCCACAAGCAAAAAATTTCCCGGATTCGGGAACCCGGGTTACCGCACAAGGGACGAAAAGCTATGACACGACTTTTTGCATGTTATTGCTTTCAAACCCAAAAAACACTTTGGAATCAAAGAAAACCCTGAGATGACGGCTCAGTTTTATTGAAAATTATTCTGTATTATACCTCAACTTTAAGTGTATTTCTCTGTCTTCCAATAGACTTCGAGTAGTCCCCCATTTTTCCTCAGGGATAGTAGAGCGAGAGAAACGCGAGCGCGCGTGTTCTCTCTCCCCGCCGCGTGTCGCTTTTTCTCGCGTGGGGTGATTTTCACGCGCGCTCGCGTTTCGCTTGCTCTACAATCCCTGAGGAAAAATGGGGGACTACTCGTAGTCTACTCTTCCAATGGCCTGATGATGACCACATGACGGAAAAGGAGAAAACAAATGGGCCATCATTTTCAAGTTAAATTTCTGTGATCGCAGACTAAGTTCTCCAATACTTACTTCTTACTTACTTCCAGTCGACGCCTAAGACACGACGGGAACAAAACTGAGTGACTGACCCCATAAGGCTCGACCTCTTATACAACTTTCAAGGTCTTGACTATTCTCCAGACTAGTATCCCACAGTGTGTATGTCTTCCCCCAATCCTAATCAGGTTGTTATTACGCATGTGTCGCATGTATGTAGCCAGCATTCGTTTGGACTTCTACTAACAATGAATGGAATGGACAAAACGCAATTTGATCACGCGCGTTTGGACCTTCTACCACTCGTTATCTGATCTCCCGTATTTTGACCATCTGTCACGTTAAATTTACGCAAAGCACAGCGTTAGAGCAAAAGCGTTTTGACCAGTTCGATCGTTGTCGCCCGCACCCCGTAACCTTTGGTTATTAATAGTATATGTACCTTACGGACATCCTCTTTTTGCTATCCCATGTGCAGGTACCTATTTAATGAACTGCTGCGCTCGAGAGAGCTCTCATCTCGAAAAACATGTCCAGAAAGAGCAATTCTTCCATTTTGAATGGTAGAGGTCACCTTTTCTAGACTCGCTATCTTTAACCTTGTCCTTCCAAGATATGTTTTCATCAATCGCAGCAATGTTCTCCAATATACAACATAAAATGTTCAAAAAGTTTGAAACCCTTTTTTGTTTCATTATTTCAGCTGGCAGACCACCACTTGGTCAGATGCCATTCCTCGTGACCCCAGAAGGAAAAATCCTGGGACAATCTGGTGCGATTATGAAATACATCTGCAGACAATCAGGTAACCCCATTGTGGGTACTTACCAAATAATAACGGTAACCCCTTCAAACCTAATTTAGAACTTTGCATCCCTCTTAATTGTTGTGAATGTACTGTCTTTAAAATATGAATAAATCACAAAACCAGAGTGTTCTCTTGACTTTCTCGTAGTTATAAAATGCATACATTAGCCCTTTTGGGCTTAGTACATACCGAAATGACAAAATGACAGATTTCCCTACCCTTTCATATACCTCAACTAGGGAAATCCCTACCTTTTTTCATAGCTAAAGCCTAAAAGAGGCACCCCTTTCGGGCGCAGCCTCCCCATATAGGCCATTATAGGGGGTAGGCAGGAGGTGGGGGGAGGGGGCAACATGTTTCTCACAGTAGTTTATAAGCTGGAGTGGGATTCATCTCAAACTTCCGCCAGTTTGTACTAGGGCATTGCAGTAGCAAGTAAAAAATAGCTCACTCTACAAACTCACTTGATGTTGCCCAGCGAAGCCATGAGCACAGGCTTATCCCGCGAAATCTACAGCCGCTTTTTATGGTTTTTACGCCACTAGCACGTCGAGAGGCGGCCATATTTGAAGGCTAGGATCAAACTGCGCATGTCTGCAGCAATAAAGGTTTTTTTCTCAACTGCGCGTGAGCGGGCCGTCGTCCGTTTTATTGGTCTCAAGGTCAATCAAAACCTCGGGAACGTAATTTTGACACTGTGTACTCGTCAGGTTTGTGTCCAGAGGACAGCTTTGACGAAGCACTGGCGGATATGATCCACGATGCTACTGATGATTTGCGTAACGCCGTGATCAAAGTCTTTTTTGAGAAAGACGAGGCTAAAAAGGTGACGTATCCTAAAATATACTGAGTAGAGGGTCTAAATAGTCATTAGAATGTAGCATCGAGTTTACATCACTGTTCTAGCTGAAAGAGTCCTTTCTCACAGACTAGGAGAGCTTAGTATCAGTCAGAAGTGGCAGCCAGAAAATTCCACCAGATATCAGTCTGCAGTCAACGCCCTCTAAGACTGACGCCTTTAGGACCGCTACCAAGTGTCCATCTAAGAGCGATGTCCGTCTTATAGAGAGTCAAATAAAGAGAATAAAGAAGGGCAGGGACCAACTCTAGCTGTCCGTTTTACTGAGGTGTCATCTTATAGAGGTGTCCGTTATGAGAGAGGTGACTCTGTTTTTTCAGGGAAGCTCTCGAAAGAGGCTTATTTTAAAATAACCGGTGAGGCTGGCCAGTTTTGATAAGCTTGAAGCAGCTAAATTGGGGTGAAGAGCAGCCTAGAGAGTATGTAACCACTCCAAGAAAACAACTCATACGGCTCTGTCCAGCACCTATAACGCGTGTGTACGGGGATGTGACAATGTAACATCGTCCCAGGGTAGGTTTTGAATCCAGCGGTTTTAGTGAAAACAAGGGTTTGCGGGGGTTGCTCATTCTCGCGGGCTCAAAAACCTCCCTTAGGTCCATCTTATCTTGTATTTGCCTGTGCACAGCTATATCACTTTAGCAGTGGCAGCCATGAGAAGCTATTTCGTCCTCACTTGGGCTCAGGCGCCTTTTACGGAGGAGTGGACGGCTTCTACTCGGCCGTTGGTCGTACTGGCGTCTGACTGCTATACCTTGCGGATTCTGCCGCCTGAATGACGGCATCTGTCAATAGAGAGATTTGGAGTGGCATTTACGGCAAACGTCAGATTCAAGTGGATAATTTCTTGAAATAGAAAACGTACAGCTAAAACAGTCCAAAACAAGTGTTGTAGAGAAAACTAACGTGAAGCTACTAATTTTAGGGTAGAAGTACTGAACCGTAAAGCAAAAGTTAAGGAATAAAAACTTGGTCAGGTAATGTGACTCTTGATCTCTCTAATAACTGTCACTGCTTGGGTGATATGGCTGTGCGCATGGGTAACGTTCTAACCAGGTAGTGAGTTGTTGTCTAAAGGCTGGCTTCCACTAGCGACCGAGTCGGAGTCGTAATCAGAAGCGTAGAACTTTACGATCTACTAGTGAAAACAGCGTCCGGATTCCGCTTACGACTCCGTCGTTACGATCAAGTGAAAACTGGGTCGTCAGAGTCGCAAGCAGAAGCGGAAGAACTCAACTCAACCAATCACAAAGTGTGGGAACGTGCATTGTGATTGGTTTATCCTTCC